AGCCATGCTGGCTGGGGAATTCTGGGAGTTGAAGTCCACCCATCTTAAAGCGGCCAAGGTTGAGAAGCACTGGCCTAGGCAAACTCAGGAAACTGAGCAAGCTTGGGGGGGGGGCATTAATTCTGTATTAGGCTGGGAGGGAGGGAGGTTAAAAAAAGAAAGAAAGAAACCTCACCGTTGTAAGGAACGGGAGCAGCAGCGTTAGATCCAGAGAGAGAAGACAAGATAAGTAGAGTTTTTCTTGTACTTTTAAATGGCAACTGCCAGGATTTTGTGACAAAGATGCAACGGCTGACCTCCGTGGGAAAAAAAAAATCGGGATGTGCTTAGATCTGTGTCCTTCCGTGGGTAAAAGACAGCAGTTCTCAGATGGGCAGAGTGTAGAAGTCAAGAGAAACTTTGGGGTTTGAGTGTGTTAGTTTACTCACTGAACATTGCTGTTTGGGGGATTTGCACAATGCATTGAACTAGTGTTTCTCAACCTTGGCGACTTTCAAATGGGTGGACTTCAACTCCCAGAAGTCCACGCATCTGAAAGTCGCCAAGGTTGAGAAACACCGCATTGGACCCTAAAGTCGCCAAACAGGTTCCCCCAAAACCACAAGCTATTGCCACGTAAGCTTGTCCGGTAGTTCCAGGCCGTAACATCTGGATCCAGCTGTGGCCGTGGGTTGGCCGAAGGGAAGAACGCGGCAGGCCCTTGGCTGCTGTGACCGCTGACCCGTGAGCAGGCAGAACAGGAAGGCCGGCTTAACCCTGGGATAACAGGAAGCCCTTGTTCACCCCTGCCTTGCCTGGCATGTGCCACAGTTTCATCCCAGGCTGCTGGAGAGAAAACCAGTTGAAGCAGGAAAGGCTTTGCATTGGCACCCAAGGCCAGCCCGGTTTATTTTGCCATCCAGGGCAGAAAGGAAATGACCCCCCTCACCTCTCCCCCATCTCCGTCAAAGTCCAGAGGACCCCATTCCAGCCAAGTTGTTTTGCCAACAAAGAATCTTTTCCTGTATTTATTTACTGCTCCCGTCAGCACCAAGGCTGAGCGGCCTGCATCCCTGACCTTCCTAAATCAGGTTTAAAAACAAAATTGCTATAAACCAAACTGAAAAGGAAACATAATTACAGCAATAATAAAGACACCGACGTATCTACGCCCTGGGAACCTTGCTTGGAATATGCACTAAATGTTCCAGTGCTGGAGGGACCATCTCCTGTCTGTCTGCTGTGATCCTGCGACAGGGTGAGTTGCTTAACCGGGATTCACCAAATAATCGGCAGTGGCCTGGGATTTAGCCCCAAAATGGAGTTTGGGATTGTATAGCCCATGAGTGAATCCATTTTCTTAGTCTGTGCAATGCACTGAATCACCAATCAGGCTAATAGAATCTAGTAGCCTGAGATGCTAAATTCTGGGGAAACGAACCCAGGTTAAAACTAACCACGCTTAGCGTGTTCTGCAAATGCAGCCGCTAGTCTTCCACTAATCTGGATAAGCGTATCACGCAGGCGGGGTGCTTTGATGCCCTTTCCTCCCTAAGGTTTACATTTCTGAAATGCATTTGGCGTGAAATTCTTACTCCGCTCTTCGGCTTAGAGAAGTCTTTGGCAAGAAAAGCAAACGCAGACGATAAAAACGTGATCGTAAAGTCCATGCAGTCAAAACCAGCGTTGTTATTGGTCATTGAAAGAGTGCAGGATGAAAAGCTTGCCGAAGGAGATGGGGCTTTGCCCCCCGCTGGGGGAATGGGAGCAACAGCTTCACCCTGGAAAGAGTTCCGGGGAGCCACACAGGAGAAGGCTCTGCTGGGTGGATCAACACCGAGTTTCTGGCACCGTCAAAAGGGCCTCTCTGCTGATCTAAGAAACCAGGTAGATTTGTGGTAGGCAAGATGGTCCTACAGGTAGTCAATTGTTAGGCCAGTGTTTTCCAAATTTGGTAACTAAGATGGGTGGACTTCAACTCCCAGAATCCCCCAGCCA